GGGGGAGCGCGAAAGGAAGTGTCCCTGGGCCCAGGCTCCAGCCCAAGCCTGAATATCTACACTGCAATTTTTTAGTCCCGCAGCCTGAGCCTGGTAACCCAGGATAGCCGCAGGTCTTTTATCACAGTGTAGACATAACCATTGATGAACATGATAAATAGGGACAAGCCAGCACAATTTCTTTAAAAGAAAACCGTTCTTCTCCCACCTATTAGAAGTTTGTAAGGGAGTCAACAAGATAGCAGATAAAGGAGACGGGGTTGATATCATGTATATGGATGTTCAGAAAGCCTTTGATAAAAATCCCATACAAGAGACTTCTGAGGAAATTAAGTATTTACAGAGCTAGAGTTAAAGTTCTACTAGGGTTAGAATTGGCTAAGACATAGAAAACAAAATATGTTGTGTTTGTGCATCATCAACAGAAATGTTAACCAAGCTCACTCTGTAAACTTTTTATTGGTTGGCAAGGTGTGAGCCATAACGAACCAGTTTATATTTCAGATTCCAGGCTCCATTCAAAGGGCTGGTAACCAGGGTTAAAAAAGGACATCTTTTATATCTGAGATGAGCAAATTTGATCCAGAAGTTATCAATACATACAAAATGTGGAACCCCGGTCTTATGGTCACTGTTCAGAGCAGAAATGTGTTTTAAAGGCTCCAAAAAATAATACTGTAGATAATTACCATAATTTTCAAACTTGATTATCTAAAGTTAGGCACCTAAACTCATATTTAGGAATATAGATAAATGGCCTGATTTCGCAAGGGGCTGAGCACTCACATTTCCTATTCAAATGAACATGAGCTGTGGGTGTTCAACACCTGTGAAAGTTAGGCCATTTATTAAGTGCCTAACTTTATGTACCCAACTTTGAAAATTATGGCTTACATATTTTATAATCAACTTTCCATCAAATTTTACAGAAATATTTACAATGAAGAGGAAAAAAAAACAATGTTTAACTTTCCTATAAAAATAAAGACAGGAGTATAACATCTATATATTCCATATCCTTCTTACCTGCTGAACAATATTTAAATGCAGGGCTCTCTTCTATTGCTGTCGCACTCTGAGTCTTGCACACAAAACTCTGCTTGTGCAGCTGCACATACTCTGTGGAATGTATGGAATCTGCTTGATTAATTTCACAGGCCTGAGCCATTTGATTGTCTCCTGCAGATTCTGAGAAGTATGGAAGGCCTTTATTGTGCCCCATTACTTTAATCAAGTCACTCCCAGGCAACATCTTGAAACTGGTGGTATGGGAGTCCAAATTAACAGAGTTTTTCCCAGTAAAACAATGGACTCTGGGGAAGTCAGGCTCATCATCTTCAGGGATAGGGTTGTACCATATTTCTCCTTCATCATCTGCATCATTATCCTCACTGAAGTCTAAAGTACAGTTTCTCAAAACTGAAGGGTTTGTAGAATGGTGAACAGCAGTTACAAAACTAGAGGTTCTTGTAGGACATTCCTGTCCTATAGGTGATTTGGGAGGAACTGGTGGCAGTTTAGGTCCAGGTAATGGACTGGACGATTTGGGTACATGGATAGTATTTCCTTGCATTTTCTTACAGATATTTTCTTCCAGATTAGGGGCCTTTAGAGTACTCTGATGTAGCCAGTTACGTTTCTTAGAAACTGTGATGCTGTCAAGCTGTGGATTATGCTCAGGGACTTCACCGGCCATAAGAATTTTAAGTTCTCTCCCGCTTGTGGAGGATATGTAAATATTTTCAATTAAATCTGTTATTAAAAGAGGAAAAAGAGATGCTTAGAACAGTCTTCCAGTTTTGATAAAACACAGACACATATGCTGTCATGTCCCATGCACACTAAATCTAGTCCCACAGGACAAAAGACATGCTGTGCTATCATGAACTTAATTTCAATCCATCGAAAGACAATGTGTGCACATAGTAAAGAAACAAAAATATCTTTTGACATAGCAATGGAAATGATAGTACAAGCACGTTGGTACTTGTTCCACATTCCAAGAACATGCACATAACAAAACAGAATGTGGGGAAGCAGTCAATCTGACACTCCTATTGATAATGAGCATGTAACAGACGTGCAATATTAAAGTTAATATATCTCATGACACACATGATATTCTTGACTATGGTCTAGATCCTGCAAGGTGTCAGGTGTCTTCTGAGAGCTGATAAAGGGTCTCAGCTCCCAAGGAAAGACCTCCACATCACAGGATCAGGCCCTAAGTGAGATGTAATTTCAAGCTGCCAAAAAACTGTCTAGCGTCCAAGTCTATAGAAAGTACTTGAGAGAAAATGGTTCAGTCTCCCAGAGTTTAATGTTAATAGCACTTGTATAGAAAAGTTTGAGATACTATTTCCATTTGACATTTATATCTTCTTTAAAATCGCACCCACATTGTTTGCATTTGTAAAACAATGAAGGACTAACACTGAAATTGAAATGTAAACTGATCAAGTTGTAAAGTTGCTCTGTGTGTTTCAATGTCTTAACACACTACTTCAGAAATGAAAGTGCTTTGGTAGTACATTTAGAATGAAACCTGTACCCCAGATCAGCTTTATAGGCAACCTCTAGTCTTAAAGGTACTGCCCTAAATCAAATACAATTCTGCTCCACTTATTAGAAACTCCATTAAGCAACCAATTTTATCAGTACTTCAATGGTCACTGTAGATTTCTTCATATTATGTTTTGTAAAGAACAGAAAAGAGACAACAGTCACTTAAGACTGGTTTCACTTTGTTAAAATGTATTTAGGAAGAAGTTAATTTTAAAAGTTTATTGAGCCAAAAAGAAATGTTCAAAAAATGTTAACATTTTTGAGCATTCCTATTATCAAAGTACAATAAAAATGAAAAAAAAAAACTAATTATGTAATTTAGATTCATGACACTTAAGTTTTGCTTGTGCCTTTATTTACATACAATCTGAAGGTTTTGAGTTTTTCACTGAATTAAATACAGATTGCAGTTCTTCTGAATAACACCAGACATATAAATTACATAGTACTACAAAGTTGATTGTTCATTACATTTATTCTAACTTGGATGTCAGCACTTTACATTAATGTAAAGTTCACATTAAACGTAAAATTCTGGGTCCAGCATTTTAATAAGTAAATGTGAAGTACCTTCTACCTAAGATCAAGATGAACACACAGATTTGCAAAACAAGTCTTTATTTCTACTGTAGCTATGCATCAAGTCTGTACAGTATAATTAACAGATTCCTTCTAATTAAAGTCATTTTATTTCCTCATGAATACCTGTAAAAGAATGCATGCAGGCAGCATTTAATGCTTTTTGAACAACCAATACTTAAAATACTTTTGCTAACTACTTTAACGATTATGTTTGCTGAAGAAATATTGTTTTGCAATAAATCTAGAGAATTTATAACTATTGAACATTTAACTAGTCATACTCCTAAAGAAACCACTATTTTGTTGAAGTTTTGAAGTAGCAAAAACAACCCTGAAGTACATTTTCCAGCACTCTTGTTCAGTGTGCATTACACATGTAGCTTAAAAACTGTGAAAAACACTGTAGAAATTACCAATATATAAATGGTGTACAGTTTATAAAAATACAAACGAACTGTTTAAGGACAAGCCAAGGATCACATCCATTTTCATACTTGAACTCAATATTCGCATTAACTGTGAACAACAATTCAGCCATCCTTATATTGAGTACCGTATATTAGGTGTTTACACTAGGATTCGTTTTGAGCAGATGCTACTGTATTGGTGTAAAACCCAAGTGTACATACGCTACATCGGTGCAGTTACAGTAGCATAGCTATACACATACTAAAAAGACCCACTGTAGACAAGCCCTCTGTTTAAAGCTATTGTAATGTTTATTGATTTTGCCTGTTTAGTAAGGAAATCTTAATAATGATTCTGATGTGAAGACCTACCGGTATATTTCTGTCTACAATATAATAAAAAGGCAATTATTTCAACTTGCTTTTTAATTAATTTCCTTGCTCCATTATTTTCCTTGCTGCTATCGTTGCTCCAAATAATTAGATTTACTATTTTGAACATTTATATTTTGTATCATTTGCAATTAGACATTACACGAAGTCAAATATTTATTTAAACCAGTACAGTATATGCTAGGAATGCTTGTTTTCTACATCTGATTGCTGCATTAAAATCCTCAATTTTCCAGTAACAGCACAAGGAATTGTTCCTCTCTAACAATTTAAATAGATGGAACATTCAAGTACTCTATTTCTACAACAAAAATATCTGTGTTACTGCCAGCATTGCACAGAAATGTGTGCCCTTTAGCATTAGTTAGGAAAGCTTACAATCCTCAGAAGTGCAGACTCCTAAAAATTATACACCTGCCCAAATATACAAACCAATCATATGTCTGAAATCTGGGCTTAAGCTGTCTTTTACTCCTAGAACAGCAAAAGTTCAAAGTACATTTGACAACATATACCTGTACAGTGTTCCATATTCCAATTACAACTTTCCTAGTAAGGCTTACTAAGGAATACAATGATAAAATGTGTTGAGAATTTTTGAATAACTTTCCATGACATGATTTACTGCTGTGTGTCACAATTTGAATTTCAAAAATACTCTTCGCACTCTTATGCTTTATGCAGACAATAATAAGCAAGCTTGCTACTGCCAAAATTCATTGTCAGTATTACAAATTTTCAAAAAAACAAAACTTATCCTAAATTCAGAACCAGCCAAATGGTATACTTCAATTTAAACATCAAATCTATCACTTACAATCAAATGACATACAGCTGTATTTGTAAGCTCTGCACTTCTCCTTTATATAGTCTTAGGCCCTGATCCTGCAATCCTTTACACACGTGCTTAACTTCAGTACCACAAGCACTGCCACTTAAGTCAATGGCAACAGTAAAGTTAAGCACATGCATAAAGGATTGCAGGATCAGAGCCTTGATTTCAAAAGGCATTTTTACTTTGAAATCTCACAGATACCACATGAAAGGACAAGGAGAAGCACAGAGAAAACTAACACAAATATTTCAATATACCACATACATATCTGCACTCATGCATGTTTTGATTTATCTGAACTGCTCAAAGTATTTTTGAAAACAATTAAAGCAATTCATTTTATAAATACACCTCTACCCCGATATAACTCTGTCCTGAAGAGCCAAAAAATCTTACTGCGTTATAGGTGAAACCGCATTATATAAAACTTGCTTTGATCCACCGGAGGGCACAGCTCCGCCCCCTGGAACGCTTCTTTACCACGTTATATCCGAATTCATGTTTATCGGGTCACGTTATATCGGGGTAGAGGTGTATCTATAATGTCTAAATATTTTTTAAATCTTACAAAAGTAAGACATTTCTGAATGTCAGCTCTGAAGTTTGCTACCTCAACCACTTTTGCAGCTAAGACTCAATATGTTTATATTATTATTATATCTGACAAAAAGTAAAGAAACAGCTAGAGATAGAAGTCAATATATTATTAGCCATTACTGAAAAAGCTTCAGATAGATCCTAGTGAGAATGTATATTTTGTAAAGTCCCAATATGCAAGTACTGCCTTGTCTGGACAATAAATATGCACTATTTGACAGAAATACATCTCTAAGAATACAATTAGTTCAGTAAGCCCACTGACATATTTTGAAGATTTTCCAATCCTATTAACTTTAGTAGTGATCAGGCCTTAAATACGTAGAAGGATTTTAGAAATATGCAGGTCATGCATATCCCTTACCCTTTGTTCTAAGACAGTCTGATTAATAATAATATTCGCTAGATAAAATTATTTTTAATTATTTGTATTATCATAACACTTGGGAGTCCCAATCATCGAGCAGGACCCCAGTGTGCCAGGCACTCTACAAAACAGAACAAAAAAGATGATCCCTTCCCCAAAGAGCTTCAATCCCATGTTTGTTTATTACGGTTTTCTTTAAAACTAATGATTCAATTTACCTAGCAACAGACTGAGTACTAGCTAAATACTTCTTTATAAAAGAGTAAGACCGAATTTTACAAACATGCACATGCAGATCAGGGCCTCAGTGTCTCAACTTGATTGAGGTCAAGGTTAATATTCTGCCTATCAACTGTGTGTAGAAAATTTTTCAACCAAAGGTTGCACTCTACCTTTCTAAGCCGTATTTTTTGGATGTCAGGATAGGTTGACAACCAAGCTTTTAATTAATTGGGAAGAGAATTTTTTGCAGTTCCTCCACATCTAGATCAAAATAGGTCATTCATATTTTCCCTAAAACACCTAAATAACCAGAATTAATTTAGACTACAATAATTTTTTTGTTCAAACCAAACTAACAATTAACTTGCAAACATTCAAGTAAATTAGAAAAACAAGTTAAAAGAATTATGAAGCAAGCAGCAGTACAAAGAAAAAGCCTGGGGAGTTATAAAACATTTAAATATTGAACAAAGTAGGGGCCCCAATTCTGTAACTTTTTAGTCACATGAGCAGTATTTACTTCTAGGGTTACTCATTCCTGGAAGCGGTTGCAGGATATGCTAAAGCACACTGTGTTTATTTGCATTAAATTATAAAGCAAACAAGATTGGGAAAAAAGGTGCATTGTTAAGAACCTGCACAAAACTAATTTTGTTCAACTGAAAGGCTGGTAGTTAAATTTAAAGCCCTTTTCAGTTTTAAGAGATGAGTTTTATTGCCCAGAATAATGAACAGATTGTTTGTGTGCATCTACACCTTCTAATTAAAATAAATCATTTCCAAATGTGAATGAGTTGCTTAAAATATGCAATACTGTATAAAAGAGACAATACCAATCATTTGGGACTATATTTGTTCAGTTAACTTCCTACTTGAGTTTACTGCAAGTAAACACATGGGCTTTTTAAATTAAAAAGGATGGCTTTATGATTTCCACATATTATAGTGGTTAATCTATATGTAAATCATTTTACTCTGGTGTGTACAGTAACAAGTGTAAATTACAAAATTCTAACAAACATACATCATCTGGGTACTATTTTTAACAATGCACTATTAGACCTACTAAAAATAATGTCAGTTCTTACATTTGTGGAAGTACCATTTTGTGGATTCACCTCAATTTCCCCCCCTGCTTTCTATGAAAGTTGAAGCCAATTTCCACAAGTGAAAAAGCCATTTTCACTGTGAAAAAGCCATTTCATTGGAGAAATGGAAAACACGTCATAACTTTGCCTTTGGCAATGTTTTGCCACAGTGTATTCACAACTCCAGTACTGTTAGTGACAGAACTAGCAAGTGCAATCTACCTTGATCAAATCAAGAAACCGCCCAAAGTTTGATATGGGAGTATTCAGAGGGAAATTTAGGATTTCACATAGCTCCAGTATTAAGGTCTAATTTGCAGATGGTACTGGACTTTTTAGGTATACTGCTTTTATAGGAGCATGAACCTGTAACAATAAATATCATAAATCGCTGATGCCAACCCCTAAAACCAAGAACACTAGGTGTGTTATATTAAAACTACATACACATTCCCTGCTATACCACAACCAGAGACATTACATTGGCATTTGATTATCACCTTGTAAAAAATGGTTGAACGTGCCTCCAAACTGCAGGCAACCCTCCACCATTCAGTCACCACCCCTTGGTAAGACAGACCCAGAGATGGGGTTATTTTGGCTCCAGGCCTTCCAGGGCACAAGCTGCTTGGCGAAGTGTGACAGGTTGAAGCCAGGCCCA